AGTGTGAACTGGTGGGAGTAATTAGTTACTGATGTACAGCTGGTTATGATCATGTCCCCTCTTAGGCACACAGAAATAAAATTTGTAACTATTTTTTTTATCTGAATATAAATTCATTGTTACCTGTAGAACAACGCACACAGCTGCCTACAGATCAGTAATACAACACTTAGTACAGAGCTGTAAAACAAATCCAGAAAAGTGCATGTTTGAATGCAATCATTTATGCGTGAATGTGTGTTTACTTGTGCGTCTTACAACACTGCCAATGAAGAATTTTACACGTGTATACAGGTGAAACTCAAAAAAATTTGAATATCATGCAAAAGTTCATTTATTTTAGTAATGCAAAACAAGATAGCTCAAGCTGTGATTTGTCATAATTGTGATGATTATGGCTTACAGCTCATGAAAACCCCAAATCCACAATCTCCGAAAATTAGAATATTGTGAAAAGGTGCGATATTCTAGGCTCAAAGTGTCCCACTCTAATCGCTAATTAAGCCATAACACCTGCAAAGGGTTCCTGAGCCTTTAAATGGTCTCACAGTCTGGTTCAGTAGGAATCACAATCATGGGAAAGACTGCTGACCTGACAGTTGTGCAGAAACCATCATTGACAACCTCCATAAGGAGGGAAAGCCTCAAAAGGTAAATGCAAAAGAAGTTGGATGTTCCCAAAGTGCTGTATCAAAGCACATAAATAGAAAGTTATGTGGAAGGGAAAAGTGTGGAAGAAAAAGGTGCACAAGCAGCAGGGATGACCGCAGCCTGGAGAGGATTATCGGGAAAAGGCCATTCAAAAGTGTTGGGGACTTTCACAAGGAGTGGACTGAGGCTGGAGTCAGTGCATCAAGAGCCACCACACACAGACAGATCCTGGACATGGGCTTCAAATGTCGTATTCCTCTTGTCAAGCTGCTCCTGAACAACAACATCAGAAGCGTCTTACCTGGGCTAAAGAAAAACAGACCTGGGCTGTTGCTCAGTGGTCCAAAGTCCTCTTTTCTGATGAGAGTAACTTTTGCATCTCATTTGGAAACCAAGGACCCAGAGTATAGAGAAAGAATGGAGAGGCACACACTGCAAGATGTTTGAAGTCCAGTGTGAAGTTTCCATAGTCTCTGTTGATTTGGGGAGCCGTGTCATCTGCTGGTGTTGGTCCACTGTGCGTCATTAAGTCCAGGGTCAATGCAGCCGTCTACCAGGAGATTTCGGAGCACTTCATGCTTCCTTCTGCAGACGAGCTTTATGGGGATGCTGACTTCATTTTCCAGCAGGACTTGGCACCTGCCCACACTGCCAAAAGCACCAAAACCTGGTTCAATGACCGTGGGATTACTGTGCTTGATTGGCCAGCAAACTCGCCTGACCTGAACCCCATAGAGAATCTATGGGGCATTTCCAAGAGAAAGATGAGAGATATGAGACCGAACAATGCAGAAGAGCTGAAGGCCGCTATTGAAGCATCCTGGTCTTCCATAACACCTCAGCAGTGTCAGAGGCTGATAGCCTCCATGCCACGCTGCATTGAGGCAGTAATTGCTGCAAAAGGGGCCCAAACCAAGTACTGAGTACATATGCATGCTTATACTTTTCAGAGGTCCGATATTGTTCTATGTACAATCCTTGTTTTATTGATTGCATGTAATATTCTAATTTTCTGAGATTGTGGATTTGGGGTTTTCATGAGCTGCAAGCCATAATCATCACAATTATGACAAATCACGGCTTGAACTATCTTGCTTTGCATGTAATGAGTCTATCTCATATATTAGTTTCACCTTTTTAAGTTGCATTACTGAAATAAATGAACTTTTGCACGATATTCTAATTTTTCATCTGTATGTGCGCTTATGGAACATCTTACTCAGGATCTTTCTCTCAACAATGTCCTGAGTATAAATGTCAGGAAAGTCTTAGGTCCTTGTGCCACTAGCCTAGGTACCTCTTCACCAAGGAGAAAGTGTAATCTTTGTGATCACTCCTCTCCATTCATTTTGTTGCCCCTCACTGAACTCTCCAGCTTCGAGACATCCTTCCTGAATCTTGGTGACCAAAACTGAACTGCATCTTCAGGACGAGGCTGAATACAGTACATGTTCCCAGCACACGGGGAGATTTACTAAAACTGGAGTAAAAACATTGGTGCAGCTCTGCTTAAAGTTATATACGTCTAAGCAGTATAAGTGCTTATGAGTTGCTGTATAAAATTGTTTTACTGGATTTAACATGAGAGGACGCATGAGATTAAGAACTATGTTTTTATCATTTTATTTATGTTATGTGTTTTTATTCATATACTTATCGTCCTCACTGGTCATGTTTTCTGTGATTATGTAATGCATATGTGGGAAGATTAGAGTTAAAATAGTGTGTTGCATGTTGAACCAATATCTGTAGCACCATCAGCTGTCTGGACTTGCCGATTAGGTGCTTGAATAACCATTAAGAGAAGGCTCAATACAATACAATCCTGAAATGCCTCTTGAGAATGTCTGTTACAAAACGCGTTGGAGACTAACTGGAAGTGATATCATTATGCACAGTACTCCTGGAAATTATATCTTTGTACACCCAGGACCAAGTGGGAAGAGACTGTTAGCGACTGGTAAGCATGGAGAACATGCTGGAATATGCCCCAAAGCGTTGCTGAGTGATTTCAATATGTGATTTTCCCTTGGTGCAAGGCACAGAACTATTGAATGGGAGTAGAATTACCTCATTGTTTTTACACTATGGCAAATCTTCCTTGTTTCCCGTATGCTCCCTATATGTGTCATCTCTGTGTACATCCTCATCTTGATGAGAGGAGTGGTGGGGATCCTAGAGTCGCTGTGGATGGTGGATCCTTTGTTGAAAACAGGTGTTCTACGACTTACCTGCAGTGGGTGGTAATGTGCAGCAGGTGAGTTCTGACATGGTGGATCACTGAAACACTTGTTGAAGATTTCCAGCACTTTATGGCATTGGTCATTATGCACATATAAAAGACTGTTCTATTGCATGGACACTTTATTGAGCACTGGTTTACATTGTGTTTGTATTTTTATATAAGCATGCACAAAACCTCTTGACTTAACCATTTAAGGACTGCCCTATAGCAGATATATATACTACTACAGGGCAGCCCCACTGTGCACGTTTCTGGGTAAGGGGTGTGGGCGTGCCTTCCTACCTGCGCTGTCATTGATTGCTGTAGATGTCAATCAACGGGACTTGATGCTCACCAGAGAAGCTGACGGGAGAGATCTGTGTGTAAACAACACAGGTCTCTCTCCTGTCAGCAGGGACATGCTTCTCTCTTGACCTTTATTATTTAAAAAAAAGAAATAAACAAAAAAAAAAACCGCACACGGTTAACCCCATATGGTAACCCCTTCCTGCCCAGTGTCATTAGTACAGTGTCACTGTTTTTTTTTAGCACTGATCACTGTATCAGCATCACTAGAGATGTCAGTGGCAGTTAACCAGTTCCCTTGCAGTGTGTGATTGCCTGCTGCAGTCCTTCTATAAGTCATTGATCGCCACCATTACTAATATAAAAATTCCGAGAGAGAGAGATTTTTTTGACACTATAACAAAACACCCAGTGTGCATGGAGCCTTAGTCCCAGCCAGTGTCAGATTGCTCACACGCTATCACAGTTTCACTATAAGTTGCTGATCATCGCCATTACAAGTGTAACAAAATAAATGAAAACTACAGTGTATATATATATATATATATATACACCATATTTGTTATGCTATAACTTTTATGTAAATCAATTAATATACACTTATTGGGATGCTTTTTTTTTTTTTTTTTTAATCAAAGGCGTAGCAGAATACATTTTGGCCTAAATTTGTAAAGAAGTTTTATTTTTTTTATTGGATATGTTTTATAGCAAAAAGTAAAAAAAAATTATTTTCTTTTCAAAATTGTTGGTCTTTTTTTGTTTAAAGTGCAAAAAAATAAAGAAGGCAGAGGTGATCAAATACCACCACAAGATAGCTGTATTTGTGGAGGAAAAAAAAGGCATAAATGTAATTTATGTACAGCGTTGCATGACTGTGTAATTGTCAAAGCAAATACACTTTTACACACTGGTACTGACTAGTATTCCAGCTTTTCTCTTCTCCCTCAGTTTTTCTCCATCACTCAGCTAATGTGACTCCAAGTTTTATTGTCAAACAAGCTGAAGGGAGAAGCTGATTGGCTACCAGGCAGAGCTGCACCCGATTCTGAGTGCCCCAGTTTTAGTCCATCTCCCACAAGGAGGTTTATCTTCCTGCATTAGTGACAGAACAGATCTCTACCATAACCCGCCTGCCTGACAATGTTTCCTTTCACTTTAGTTCCTGCTGGGGCCATGAACGTGGCAATCCGCAGAACATGTCACTTTCTAGCACTCCTTGAAGTGCGAAGAGGGTTTGGCGCCCCCTTAGGACAATAGAGGTATTGCCGTTAAAGCGGCTCATTACCAGTCCTCAGTATGACAGTTGCTCGTGTCAACGGAATCAGCCAATGAAATCTGTAGAAACATCACGGTAGCCTATTGGGCGAGAGACTCAGCCACTCACTGCATGGCAGCGTGTTGGGGGAGGGTCATAACTCAGAGCGCAGTAGCTTACTGGATAGAAGACTCAGCCACTCACAGCACGATAGCCTAATGGATAGGAGACTCAGGCAATCATAGTACGACAGCGTTATGATTGGGCGGTGCAACTGCTTACAGCCCGGCAGGCTATTGGATGGGAGGCTCAGCTGTTCCTAGCTTGGCAGCCTATTAGGTGAAAGCTTAGCCACTAACAACACGTGCATGGAGTGACAACTTCCTGGTCCGAGAGCTGTCATTGAACTTTGAATCTGTACTCGGTGCCTGTAGTAGGAATGAAGCCACATCGGCTCGGATTAGAAGGACGGGTCTTATGTGTGTGTAGAGGATAGGAAGAGATGGAGTGATGTGTGACTGATCGGCCAGATCTCCATTGTACAGAGCTGTGACTGCACACACCATGATGATGTCTCCCCTGCAGATTGCAGAGTGTAGTGGCTGTGTTGTCACCACCTCTCAGACACAGACATCCCATGCTGGTGCAGATCCCAGCCGTGTCCCCTCGGATCTGTGTAGAGGAAGGAGTGAGCAGCATGTCCCTAGAAGTGAAGGTGATGGCTGGTGGAGCTGCAGCGGGGTGATCTTAGACCGGAGTGCGGGGATTGTCATTTGTCAGGCAGACGTGTTTTTTCCTTTCCTAAAAGAACCTTTGTCTCCCTCTGATCTCACCGTGCTTTCACCAGATGACTTCCCACCAGATCTATGGATTCGGGTGGAATGCCCATTGGAAGCCAAGATAGACGCAGAACAGAGATCCCGCAGTACCCCTCCGAGTCAGAGGTCAGGACTGGGCCTCGTCCCCGTGTCGAAGCCGCAGAGCCAGCGAATTCAAACCGATGCTGACCTCCTCATGCTTGTCCCGTGCCCTGGCTTCCAAATGGCGGTTTCCACATTATTCAGGAAAGAAGACGGCTGGGTGTTTTCCAACGAAGAGGAGAAGGAAGATGGAGAATTCCAGAAAGAACTGGCACACCTTCATTGGTTTGCGGTGCTGAAGTTGCAGAGCCCGCTTCCCAAAGCCAAGAGCAGACTGGACATCATGAAATCCTCTGGCCTACTAAAAGGCAGTACAGTGTTTGCATGCGGCTCTCCCTTTGGCTCCTTCTACACCGACATCTTTCTCAACACCGTTAGTAAAGGAGTCCTAAGCAACACTGCCGGGGATGGGAATGTTGTACTGCTTACTGATGCCCGCTGTCTGCCAGGGTCAGAAGGAGGGGGCGTTTATTTGTTGGAAAATGGAACTTTGTATTTGATAGGAATTATAGTGGCACCGCTATGCTGGAAGGCAAACGAATGGGTAGGACTGACGCTGGCTTGTTCTATTAGTCAGATCATTAATGACATTATTAAGGCGGACATTGCTGGAAAAAGGGAATTGGCAGCATTGGAGATGGGCCAACGTATTGTGGACAGACCCAAGAGAGGTGCAAGACCCTCAGAACACCTGATGGCAGTTGCTGTTCTAGTGGATTCAGGCCAATCATGGGGATCTGGAGTTCTGCTAAAATCCAAACTAGTGCTGACGTGCCGACATGTGGTGAGACATTCATCCAAAGTCTCCGTCAAGGTCCACAATGCTAACATGACAAGTGGAAATCACTATGCTATTCAAAGGTGGGCAAGGAATATTTAAAGTGGTTTTAAAAGCTGAAGGTTTTTTACCTTCATGTATTTTATGCATGAATGTAAAAAAAAAAAAACCTTCTGTGTGCAGTGGTTCCCCCCCCTGGTGGCAGTGCTTGAGTGGGAGGAGCTTTTAGAAAAAAAAAAAGATGAAGCTTTAGTGTCACTATGAAGAGCCTTACAGGGTTATTCCACTTTCATGGAAGAGAAAAACGGCAAGTAAAAAAATTATTTATCATATACAATTGCTACACAAGCAATATTTTAACCGCTTGCGGACTACTGCAGGGCGGCTTCTCTGCACTGGGTACATAATCCGCACCCATTGCCCTGGGTGTACCTGGGACAGCACAAGGCGATCAGTGGGTCTTGGACAATTATTGATCTGCTTTGCGAATCACAAAGAGGGCTCTGTGTTGGTAAACAACACAGAGCTCTGTACACTGACAAGCGATCGTGCTGTTTTTTTCCTCCCCGCAAAGCAGAAAAAAAAAAACATTGCTTAGTGAAAACAGGACATATTGCACATTACATAATGTTAGGCACAAAAGGGACTTTATGGTGACTTAAACTTTTAATGTTTTTAACATTGCGTTGTTTATCTCCCTACCTCCTTGCCTGTCTCCAGCACTGCACCCATCACGCTTTGTGATCGAAGGCAAAATTGCAGCGATTCTGCCACAATCTCGAAATGCTCAGGTGTGAATGGAGCCGCCCTGGTTCACACATATGTGATTCTGCATGCATTTTCAAATGCACAGATTCGCATGACAGGCAAGATATTATGTGTTCCTATTGAGGTGGTTCAAACAAATGCGATCCACACACATTGTGTTTGAAGTGCCATTACGAAAAGGGTCCTGTTTGTTGTGGTGTGTTCCAGACTCGCAAATGATAGAGTAGAGTGGCATGCGTAGATAAGTGGCTCTCATAGGATTGATAATAAGAGGAGTTTTCACATTGCAGTGAATGAAGGGTGTTTTCGCATTGAAGTCTATGGGAGGCTTTTTTGCATTGAGGGTTATGGGAGGCGTTTCTTGTAAACCAACTCAAAACCTGGCCCCTGTGTGGGCAATTTATGAGCATGTCTTGTTCTTGTTGAACCGCAATAAAAAAAAAAAAAAAATTGAAACAGAAGTCTACGGCATGCAATTTTGCATTGGAGTCTACGGCATGCAATTTTGCATTGGAGTCTACGGCATGCAATTTTGCATTGGAGTCTACGGCATGCAATTTTGCATTGGAGTCTACGGCATGCAATTTTGCATTGGAGTCTACGGCATGCAATTTTGCATTGGAGTCAATTGCCCTCAGTAGGGCTAAATGTAACTGGGTGCCGGGTGGTATGATTTGTGCATCCCGGGAAGGGGTAACCAGTGCTCATTGGAATAGGCTCTCAATGTTGAGAGTCTCATTAAGCAGGCCTAAATACTAGCAAGTGTATGATCAAAGTACCCATAAGAAGACCTGCGTTCTGAACCCTCATCCCTGAACGCATAGGGCCCCTCCAGCTGGTACCACTTAATGCAGTTCTCAGGCCTGTCCAGCCACATTCTGCCTGTCTGGTCAGTGGCTATCGGCTATGTGTTACTGTTGACCCATTATTATGATGAGTGCCCTTACTAACCAATAGTAAGGTTTTATCCCGAAGGAGGGTGTAGTGCTGGCCCCACTCACTGGGAAGTTTGTCTAATTTTTTGCAATATAGAGCACCTTTTGTTTTCAGAGGTCCTTGCGGTCCCTTGTCAGATGCCGGAAAGTCGCAAAATTCCATCATTGTTAGTGACTGATTAGTCGGGGTCAACTGAGGGAATCCAGCCTGTCTGGAGCAGACTGATGACATTGTTTTCCCAATGTGCCTTGACTGAGAGCGCAAGTATTGCTATTTTACAGACAAGAAGAACCCTTACCCTTAAAACATGTATGTCATTCGCAAAGCTTAACATTATCTTCTGTTGCAAGTTCCCTTCATAATAGTGGCATTGATGTTTCTTTCTAGTTCTTTCTAGAAACGGCATGGAGATTGTCATTGGTAAGTCCCAAAGACTTTCATGCCAAAAATTCTAATTTATTTCTGACAACATTTTGTAGGTTTCATCCTGTAAGAGGTAACGTGGTGTTTTCAACTCATGAATCCTCTCCCTATGACATTGCCATCGTACAGTTGGAAGAAGACATCTCTGGTATACCTGAACCAGTTCTGGCATCTAGCTACTATGCAGGTTTGTTGTTACTCGTATTTATTACAAACTGTGCTAAGTCTTTGAATTTATGTGGTTGGCACTGAGTGTTATAGCTTGGGATCGAAACATTTTTTAGTGCAGAAGTATATGATTGTGGCTTTTTTAATTTAAAGGGTAACTTCACTGTCATGGGGAAAAAAATTGTTAAAAGAAATAATATAGCGTAGACAATTGCTGCACAAGTCATATTGTTACTGAATGTTATTAAAAATTAGTTTTCCTTTTCAATTGGCAGTACTGTAATTTTCTGTAAAATACAATATGACAAGTTGGAGGTGTTCTGCATACAGATGGTGTACAGAACGCCTTCCAGAAATGTAATTTCCTGCTTGTGTGATTTGCTTACTGGTTTTTCCAGAAGTCTGCACTAAAACAAGTCAGTTTTTTGAGCATCCCCTGCAACAAAAATATCATTTTTGGTGAGATACTCCCAAAGGGAAATCGCATCTGAATGAATGTAGACCTTGCCACTTTCCTCATTAGAGCCCTGCAGCTGCAGCAACGGATTTATAATTATAAAACCACTGCCATTCTCCTTCACTCTGCACATGGACACAGACAAACAAACAGCTGTCTCTTCAGATTAACAAAAGGTAGGAATCTGCAACAAATCATGTTAAATTCCTTGCAATGTACATAGATCGCCCAGAGGAAAATGATTTTTTTTTTTCTCAACAAAAGTGGAGTTGCTCTTTAATTCTGGGATCATCTCAAATGAAGAATATAAAAGGGCACAGATCAGCAAAGAAGTTTGGTTATAGAAGGCAATGACAGGACAGATAAAGTAAACATGTCATGTTTATGTAAGTATTGATTACCTGACGTTTATGCTGTTTCACTGGCTTCAGTACTTTCTGGGTCAGGTAAACAGGTCAGGAAAAAAGAGAATGAATTACAAAGTCCTGATCTGTGTATTTGAGCCAGGTCAGCCATTGAGTAAACATGGTGGATGGCCAACTGGCATTTTAAATCTTAATGTTACGCTGTGTAAAGAGTCCTGTGACTTTACATGTTTAGTAGCCAGGCCCTAACAGTCATGAAAAAGACAGTGTCATCAACCCTATGTAAGCTCTCACTCTATCATACTTGGAGTTTGCATAGGGTCTGACTCCTGGGGGGATGGAGTGGTGGGGGAGCATAGGAAAAATTACTTTAGAACTGTCAAGAGCATGTGAACGTTCCTATTCTTTAACAGCTGCTGGTCTTATTCCATCGTCCTGATTTTAGCTATGATGCATCCCTGTCTGTCTGTCCACCTGCAAGGTGATTGATGTGCTAGATTCTGGGTGGAGACCAAACCTGATTTAAGCCAGCCAAGTCTGCAGTCTCATGCTTGTGATATTGTGACTGTAAAACGTGCTGCAAGTTCCCTGTCTGTCTGTCCTGCTCTGCTGTTTGGATTCCCTTGTTGAAGACCTCGGATCGGATATTGGACTTTCTCTGAACTCTGCCTGCCTTTAGACTCAGATTGGACCCTGACTACTCTTAACCTTTCCTGCCTTGTACCTGGACTGTTGTTGAACTACTCTGCCTGTCTGCCAACTGCAAGTACCTGTTTGCTGTGCTCAGTTCGCATCTGCTTCAGTGTGCTGGCCAGGCACTATAGCATTATGTATAAGTCCTGGGGGCAACCGAGTACCGGTAGGCCTGCTTGCCTTATGGGAAAGGGGGCTGCTATAGGTGAAGAAAACACAAGCTAGCTGTAGTGCCTGAGCACCTTCATTAGGGTTAAGCGTCACAATAACTCAGTTCATTTTTTATAATAAATCAAAGTAACAGATCTGTCCATGGTGATTCCCCAAGGTGTGGGTACAGTCACTGGGGACTACAAAATTAACTCCCCAGGTTTGTTCCCTCAGGCATTGTTCTTTGGGTTAAGGTGAGGAACCCCCCCCCCCCAGAGACTGGATTCCTGTTTTTCATCCAGCAGGGGACAATTCTTTCTGGACTCCTCATATGGCGGTCAGGCATCTGTCATCCCGGATGCCAGGAATTCACCAGTTTCTCTCTCCTTTTTTTCAGTCTGATACCTCACAAGCTTTGTGTCGCTGCACCTGTGCCTGAGTGGTCTTCTGTATATAATAGGCTCATTTCACAACCCTAAAACACCAGGATAAGGATCCCTATTTTTAAAAATATGATCGTTAAATCTAATGAAATTTGAAAGTTATAGTCGCATTGCTCAAAATAAAGTTCCTTATCCTTATTTAAAGCTTTGGGATTTCAGCTTCATCTGTCCTAGAGTGATATTTAAAGGCAATTTAAAAAAAACAAAAATAATATGTCATACTTACAGTACCTGCTCTGTGCAATGGTTTGATATGCTAGAGTGACATTTATATATACTAAATTTAATATTTTCCTAATATGAACAATATGATATGGCAAAAATGTTAACAAATTACCATCTTTTTTGGCAGGAGAGGATGTCTGCATTGTTGGATTTGGGGCTCTGGGAGAACGCTGTGGCCCATCTGTAACGTCGGGAGTCCTGTCATCTGTTATATCTGTTGGTGATGGCCCAGTCATGTTACAGACATCATGTGCTGTTCATGGAGGTTCCAGCGGAGGACCTTTGTTTGCTGCTCACTCTGGAGAACTGCTAGGTAAAAATTGGAACAATGTTCTGTTTATTTAGTTTGAAAGTACATTTTATGTTCATTTCGCATTGAACCATGCATGATCCACATAAAATGGTAATCTTTCCACTGGGTTCAGTAGCTAATCATAAACTGTCAAAGGATAAGTTCACCTTTTGCAGGTAAGAAAATGTGCATTTATTTTTTTGTTTCTGGAGCCTCTAAAGCATTGCACCAGATCAGCAGATCGATGGTGCCATCCAGGTCTTCCTCTGACCTGTCAATATCTGCTCCTCGTACATCCTGTACAGGCAGGCAGATACTCACTGACAGGAAGGCTCAATGAACTACCACAGTGCTATGGAGCGCCGTGTTAGTTCATTGAAAACTACAAGCTTGCAGCCATAAAGGCTACCGGGACTTGTAGTTTTCCCATTCACAGAATACTGTGAATGAGTGACGTGGCTGGGTGGGCAGAGCCCCGCACAGCCGTGTGGGGGTTTTAGTTTTTTTTTTTTTTTTTTTTTAAATCATGACAGCTAGTGGGGAGGAGAAGATCCCCCGCTAGCTGTCACAGCGGGGATCGGAGGCCAGTCTATTCATATTCATGTTACACCCTGAATATATACATACACCCTGAACTTATCCTTTAAAGGCTCTTTAAAAGTGATATTTTAGTTCTTGATGGTTGCTGGAGTGTTGGGGCACCTACATTTCAGCCCAGACAAACACCATCAAAATGTAAATCTACAGTTGCAAGAAAAAGTATGTGAACCCCTTGGGATTACGTGGAGTTTTGCATGAATTGGGCATAAAATGTGCTCTGAACGTCATCTAAAACACAACAATAGAAGAACACAGTCTGCTGAACATAATACTACACAAACATTAGATGTTGCCATGGTTTAATTGCACATAACATGTAAACATTCACAGTGCAGGGAGGAAAAAAAGTATGTGAACCTTTGGACTTAATAACTGGTTGACCCTCCTTTGGCAGCAATAACCTCAACCAAACGTTTCCTGTAGTTGCAGATCAGACCTGCACAACAATCTGGAGTAATTTTGGACCACTCCTCTTCACAAAACTGTTTCAGTGTAGCAATATTCTTGGGATGTCTGGTGTGAATCGCTCTCTTAAGGTCATGCCACAGCATTTCAATCGGGTTGAGGTCAGGACTCTGACTGGGCCACTCCAGAAGGCGTATTCTGTGCTGTTGCAGCCATTGTTTTGTTGAATTACTTGTATGATTTGGGTCATTGTCCTGTTGCATCACCCATCCTCTGCGGAGCTTCAGTTGGCGGACAGATGGTCGTACGTTTTCCTGCAAAATATCTTGATAAACTCTGGAATTCATTTTCCCATCAATGACAACAATCCGTTTAGGCCCTGAGGCAGCAAAACAGCCCCAAACCATGATGCTCCCTCCGCCATGTTTTACAGTGGGGATGAGGTTTTGATGTTGGTGTGCTGTGCCTTTTTTTTCTCCACACATAGTGTTGTGTGTTCTTCCCAAACAACTCAATCTTGGTTTCATCTGTCCACAGTATATTTTGCCAGTAGTGCTGTGGAACATCCAGGTGCTCAGAGATTTCTGTAGGTCTTTAGTTGACACTCTGGGATTCTTCTTTACCTCATTCTGCGCTGTGCTCTTGCAGTCATTTTTACAGGACAACCCCGCCTAGGGAGAGTAGCAACAGTGCTAAACTTTCTCCATTTGTAGACAGTCTGTCTTACCGTGGACACATGAACATCAAGGCTTTTGGAGATACTTTTGTAACCCTTTCCAGCTTCATGCAAGTCAGCAATTCTTGATCGTAGGTCTTCTGAGAGCTCTTTTCTGCGAGGCATGGTTCACATCAGACAGTTCTTCTTGAAACCAGTAAACCCAAAACAGGTGTGTGTTTTTTAAGGGCAGGACAGCTGTCAGCAACACATCCAATATCATCACACTGGAGTCAAGGTTAGCTCACTCCTGGCTCCAATTAGCTCTGGGAGAAGTCATTAAGCTAGGGCCTCACATACTTTTTCCTCCCTGCACTGTGAATGTTTACATGTTATGTGCAATTAAACCATGGCAACATCTAATGTTTGTGTAGTATTATGTTCAGCAGACTGTGTTCTTCTATTGTTGTGTTTTAGATGACATTCAGAGCACATTTTATGCCCAATTCATGCAAAACTCCACGTAATCCCAAGGGGTTCACATACTTTTTCTTTCAACTGTATCTTACACACCAGCTTGTAACAGAAAAGAAAAAACTTCAGTATACTAATCTTTTCCAAGCTTCAGGCTGCTAGGTACCAAGCCTTGGACTCTGGACTTTGGGTAAAGCAGTGCTACTGATTAGCAACCTCGATTTGAACAGATGAAGTGCTGTTTTAATGTTCTAATAGAAGATGTGAACATAGAAATATGAGAACTTCCATAAATGCTTTTTTAAAGAAGTCTCTATTCAATTTGTATTCATGTGTTCTTTTCCCCAGGGAACAAAGTACATGTAGTACTTTTTCCTATCTTCCTAGGTGCTGTCTAAGGCTAGTTGTGAGGTCAGACAAGACCCCTTTCCTCTCCACGGTAGTCCAACAACACAGCTAGCAAGGAAATGGTTGCTTTGACTGATGGCACTTATCTCTATCTCCACACACTAGACCAAGACAAGGGTCTTGCGAAGAATACAAGGGGAGGGGGGCTTGTCAGCTTAAATGTTCTAGGCATGTGGGCAAGTACTTGTAGATGGAGAAAAGTGTCATTTTTCAAAGCAGCCGTCTCCTTGTTAGCTGTTGTCAGATGGTTGTGGAGGGAAGAAAGGTGTCCTGTCTGACTTCACAGTTAGCTCTAGACAGCAGCTAGGAAGATAGGACAATGTACTTTATTTACTTTGTCCCCTGCAGAACATAATACATTCATAAAAATTGAATTGAGACTTCTTGTTTAAAGGTTAAGTTCACCTTTTAACAAAAAATAATAAATGCACATTTTATTGCAGGTAAAAAAAAATGTGCATTTATTATTTTTTGTTTCTGGAGTCTTGAAAGCATTGCACCAGCGTTCAGCAGATCGCTGGTACCATGCTGTCTCCTTCTGACCTGTCAGTGTATCTGCTTGCTCTTACATCCCGTACAGGAAAGCAGATACTTACTGACAGAAGGAATCAATTAACTCCCATGGCGCTCCATAGTGCCATGGTTGTTCATCGCTAACTACAAGCTGACTTGTAGTGTTCTCATTCACAAAGAAGGCTGTCCCCGGACGCGTTTTTTAAAAAAAAATTGTGACAGCTATCAGGGGGAAGAGGATCCCCCGTTAGCTGTCACAAAGGGAATGGGGAGGTGTGGGGTCAGTCCGTTCGTAACATGTTACACCCTGAATATGAATTACGAAAGGTGAACTTATCTGTTAACTCTTCCAGGTAAGGACTTTAAACAGTATGAAAGGCAACCCATGACTGACATTTTTGAACAGCCGAATTTAGATTCATCCATAGTATAATTGATGGTATCACAAGGGGTTCCTCAGCTGGTTGCATTCCAATTATGAAGTGGAGACCCCTCATCAGCATTATACAGAATCTGAAGCAGCTGGAGGCTCAGCTTCTTTCTCTACTTCTTACCCCTGGTTTTACCAAATAACTGTTTATCACTGCCTGAAACTGAAGAATGCTTAATTATTTACTCCTCTTAGCCTGGGTTAATTTATATACAGTATTTTGTGTTAGTATTTTTATGTTTTCTTTATTTTAGGGATTGTTGCTAGTAACACAAAGGATAACAATACAGGGGCAACATACCCTCATTTAAACTTCAGTGTTCCTGTTACCATTCTTCGAGCAGCACTAGACAGATATGTGGAATTTGGGGATTTGCGGAGCTTCGGAGAACTGAATAAGGCTGGGCTTGCCGTGCGGGATGTGTGGCGACTCCAGAGGTCTCCTGAAAATGTTTTCCAGAGCAAGTTATGAGTCCCTTGTAAGTACTATTGGACTGCATACATGTCATTAATACTTTAATTTCACATGATCAGTTCCTCAAAGGGGTTGTACAGGAAAAGAACGTTGTATTCTGACAGTGGCACACACCGCTGCAGCCACTGATTGAGGCAAATTTTCCAACACATCCTTTCAACAGAAGCCAGTCAAATGATTGACTTCTGTTGAGCAGGGATGGCCACACCCTGCTCAAAATTCAGCTGCTGATGGTTGGCCTGCTTTAGGTAAGTCCAGGTGAGACAGACTGATTATAGGCTAATCGTTTTACATGTGAACTTTGCTTGTGGCGAAAAAAAAAAAATACACAATCATTAAATGTCACGATATTATTTGCAAATGTGCAATCCCCCCCCACACACTCCTCCCCCAATGACTTCTGTTCTAGTGAGCGATCATTTTTAAATAGGGGCAGTGTGTACATGATCATTTTCTAAGCTTAAAATGGCACAAAACTGGGAAAGAAGGAACTACATGGGACTAATCACAGTTACGATTTAAAAAGAGGGCAAAATACTGATAATACCTGTGATGTGACTGATTTTGTACTGATGGCATGGCTAAACATTGTTCTTGTTTAGTTATGTGATGAAATGACAGTTTGTTTTTTTTTTTTTTTGCAATTCACGCAATGGAATCCAAACAATTTTAGTAACATTATTGCAAGATTAAAAACTATTTTTGTGACTCTGGCCTACGGGTCTATTTTTATGTGTTTTATGTGCCTTTTAGATGCGGTGTATTAACAAAAAAAAAATTCCTGCTTGCTACATCTTTAATGTGCTTTCGTTAAAACACACGTCATATAGGCTTTAATGGTAGCATGCCCAAAACACATGGAAAACATGCCTAAAACACAGATGTAAACCAGCCCTTGGAAGAAGTGTTGATATCTTTTCTTGATATCTCAGCTGGGGAGCTGAGTTGCATCAATCACTCAACAGCCTTCCTTTTTAAAGCCTAATTCCAAGTTTAATGTCCCTTTTTAAGTTGTTTGGCCAAAACCAGCTATTTACTGTACTAACAGGTGTGCTGTATTAACTGTATGTAGCCAGCACTGTGTTCTTGCAGTGGAATGAGACCTTCCCGTCCCACTGCCACCCTTTGTTCCTGGTTCTATCCCCCTCCCGATTGCTGCTTGTATCTGTTACTCTCGTTTTTCTCCAGATACAACCCCCCCCCCCTCTATTTTTATTTATTTATTTTTAAGACTATACTTTATTGTTGTACACCATGACTTTTATAATGGTGCAAATAACCAGTGAGTTATTCACCTGTTTAGTCATTCATATGTCTAGTCATCTATTTGTTATGGATATATTTATTCATTTTCCCAGTTCAGTCTGTATATTGAATACCATGTAATCTCATGTATCTTATTCTATACTTGTTGTTTAGCCTACTGGGATACCCTCAATGCTGCCCTGCGACAACCTGCTTGCGGACTTTCCCATCCCCCACCCCCTCTCCTCCTCTCTTTTTTTTTTTTTTCTCTCCACGCCCCACACACTTTGCACATTTTTCGTAACACTCTTTTCCCCCTAGCACAATTTCATGCCTCCTCCCGTTTTTTCTTTTAATCATTGTTTTTATTTTCCATCTTTTATTGTTTGTCCTCCTCTCCATCTTATAATGGTTGGTTTCTCCCTTGGCCACCATTGTTTGGTCTTCAGGGGGGGCGTGCATTTCTGTCTCCTCAGGCCACCCCCTCCCTGCCTCTTCTTCCTATTTATTCGGCTCCTATCACTCGCTGGCATCGGTCATGAAGAAGGAGCTCTGTGCATGCTCCGAAACGCGTCACCGTTCCACGCCCGTTCCTAACCATCATTATTCTTCTAGATATATTGCACTTAGAAGCGCCTTCTTGTTCTATCCTCTTCCATATGCAGAAGTTTGTTTAGGCCAGCTTCCCGCCACCACCTTCTCGCTCTTTAAGAAGTTATTCATGCTGGGAGGCAGAGGCGGGCATTCCAATCACATTACCGCTGTGATTGGCAGTCACCGCTGTCACATGATTGGAAAGCTCCTGATCACTAGTATGCATCCGGAGCTTTCCGGTACCCGCTAGTTACTCTGGAAGTGCACTCTCGGGACAGGAAAATGTTTACATAGGGACTAGGGTGGATTTCATTTAAATCATGATTTAAGTCACTAGTGAAAAGGCTCAATTTTAAATCATAATTTTTAAAGAGCAACTGTCATCTCTGTCCTGCAGCGGCTCCTCCTTTGACCTACTGTTGACTCACTGACAGTCCCATTCACTTAAATGGGTCACCTGTCATGCGGCAGTGACACAACAAGGTGAGGGACGTGGCAGCGGCATCACCTGCCCGCTAACAGGCAATGCCATGATGGATCTAAAATGACAGGTACTCTTTAAATTTAAGGGATCCGACTCATTCTTGCTGGTAGTTAGAATCTTTAATATTTACAAACCAAATGAAGGTTTCTTTTTTAGAATAATAAGCTGTCAAGTTAGTAAAACAGCGATATCAGAACCGATTTTAGGTTAATAAGCTAATCACATATAGCTGGAACTACTCAAACTCCTTATTTCATGTTTTTTCTCATGGTTACTGTGAACTTGTGTGAATGCATCAATGCAGTGCATGTTATCTCAGCTTTCAGAGCTTGGATTCATTGAATAAGTTTACCAAAAATGTAAATCTTGCAGAATATACAGCCTCATGCTACATAACTAAGCTCCATTTCATGCTGAATAAACTAAGTTTTCTATTTAAGATACAGTAATAATTATCTTTAGATAGATTTTTACACCAAAAGCATTTTATTAAAATAAATTTGATAAAAATACAGTTTTTTTCATTTTGATTTGACAACCTGGTCCAGACGGCTGGAAGGTCGAGAAAAGCTAATTTGTTGCCAGGAGGGAACAAAAAGGACACTTCCATGCAATTCACATATTAGATTGTTTGTTTTGTTTCCATATGATTAGAAATTATAACACACCTATGTATCTTTGTGTCTGATTTTTTTCTATTTTTTTCTCTGCACAGTAAGGGTTGGATGGAGCTTTTAAATGCTGAGGAATTTTTGTTTCAGACTTCCATGTAACTTTCTTCAAAAGCTTATTAACACTGAAGAACCTAAGTGGTGGTCTGTATAATGCTTTGCCTCTGGCTGCTAAAAATAATGGAAAGCATTAGGGGTCTGATTACTTATAGAGTTGTTCTCATATGGAAATGTTTATGGAAAATCAGAGCACCTCTGGAAATTCTAAAATACAAGCTATCTGGCATTGTTTAGCACTTATTTATTTGAACAATGTGTGATATAAGCCATGCCACTGATAATGCAAGAGCAGTAGTTGATTCTTCTATGGCAGTGGTCTCCAAACTGCGGCCTGGGGGCTGGATGTAGCTATTTGCTTGCCTTTTTCTGGCCCGTGGTGCACTATTCTTCCAATTGACATCAACAATGGGGCACCATTTCCCCTACTGACACCATCAATGGGGCACTATTTTTTATGTCCAATGTATCCTTATTAAAGATTTTTCAAAGGGTACAAGATGTACATTAAACAAATATACATGGTCTCCACAATAACTATATAATGGCAAAGTCTGCTATATGCAAGAAAACATCTTGCCATAGGGACATTGAATGACACAAAACTTGCGTAAGGAAAAAAAATGTGAGAATCAATTGCAACAGACATTGTAAGTAAAGGAGGAGGGGAATCTGGGAAGGTATAGGGGGATTGGGGGGGGGGCATAAAGGAAGGGGAAGGAAAGAAAAGAGTCCCACAGAAATCAAGGCACACAGTCATAATGGAGCAATTTAGTTGGCATCATGTTAAGGTGCATTTAGGGTGGGAAAGCCATGAGAACCAGAGTATGGAGAAATGTTGCATTTGGAGATTTGTGTGGGCAAACATTCTCTCCATATCACATAGAAGATTTAGGCCAGTAATTGTGTTTTGTAATAGAAGGAGGAGTCTGGTATGCCATAATCTGGTGATATTTAATTTGGCTGTCAGTAGTAAATGCATGATTATGGATCTTGAGCTGGGAGGAAAGGTCTCCATGCCAATGTGTAACAATGCAAGAGCAAGATTAGGGTATACCCGGAGGCCTGATATGTCAGAAATGAGAGCAAAGGCTTGGCGCCAATAGGATCTGAGATTTACAAAACCATATGGTGTGGGCTAATGTACCTTTTTGTCACCACTTAGTCTCCAACATGATGAGGAGCAGTTCAGATAGTTTGTTGCAAGTTTGAAAGGGGATAGGTACAAATAATGTAATGTTTTTAGGTAAAGTTCCCAGGGGTTGGAGCAGTGAGATGCCATACTGGTACTTGCAATTGCTTTTTGCCACATTGGCTTCAAGAAAGTTTAACCCGGCTCAAGCTTCCATTTTTGCAATGAGTAACCTGGGAGTAAAGTCGGTCATCATTTAAAACCACATAAAAGAGAGAAATACCTTTTTTGGGGCGCTGGGAATGAAAATAGAACTGATATGCGCATAATGGTATGTGTGTTGTAGTCTGTGTGGAGTGGAGGTAATGTGAAATACAGGTGTAAATGCGGATGGGAAGCAAGTTAAAGTCCTCACAGAGGGTGTTAAGGGGTTTGAGTCTTTGGCCAAACAAAAGGTCGGCAGCTTGGGTAATGTTATGTTTTTGCCAGTGATACAGGTTGAGGTCAGGAAATAATTGGCACAGGCATTTGAGGGGTGGAAGTAGTTTGTGCAAGGGGTGGGAGGATAAGGAACTTGTAGATAGCTCTTTCCGAGCCCTAAATGAAACTATGGGTGTGGGGTATGGTGAAGATGGTAGAGGGAATCCAACAGTGATGAACAGGAGGATTCCTGTGAGCTCAGATGGATGGTAGAGGGTGATCTCCATAATCGACCAGGTTTTCTGTTCCATAGGGTACCACCAATAGTAGAATTGGTCTAGCAGTGTCGCATAATAATAGGAATGTATGTGTGGGAGTCCGGCACCTCTTCCTTTTTGTAGGGTCTGGTCAGTATATAGTTAGCACATCTAGGGCGGCTTGCGTCCCATACAAAACGTGTAAGATGATGCTGGATTGAAGTGGAAAAAATGGGATGGAAGAGGGATCATGAGGGTTCTGAAGAGGTTAAAAATGTTAATACTGCCTAATATTTTATGAGTAGCTATGCTACCTAGTTTGGAGAGACCGAAGGAGCAAAATGTGCACAACTCTTGGGGAAGATTCTGGAGAAAGTGTTTATAGTTCACATCGAATGATTTGGAAGTAGAAGAGGGGAGCTGAATACCCAAATATGGGATGGAGTGTTCAGCCCAGGAAAAAGGGAAAATCGTTCTTATCCGCATAATGTCAGTCAAGGACATATGTAGGGCTAGTTGCAGTGACTTTGTAGAGTTAGGTTTATAATATGAAATGGCGCTAAAATTGTCAAGCGTCACCTGTATGGATGGAAAGGATTTAAACAGATTAATGATCATAAGGAAGTTTATGCTAAGTGTTATGGAAAGGAAAATCAGATATTAAAGGATCAGAGTGAATTTTGGCTGCAAGGGGTTCCGTTAATAGTGTGAATAATAATTGTAACAGTGAGCACCCTTGTCTGGTGCCATTTGTAGTGGTAAAGGGAGCTGAGAGGGTTCACAAGGACAATACTTTTGCACTAGTGTTGGAATAGAGGGAAAGTATGGCAACCAATCTTGGATGTCAAATTTGTGTAAGACTGCTTTGAAGAAGCCCCAATGAACTCGGTCAAACGCCTTCTCTGCATCCAAAGAGAAGAGCAGAGAAGGCGTTTTCAGATTATTGCAATGGTGAACAAGGTTATTCAAGCATCTGGCTGCGTCAGGGGTCTGTCGTCCAGGAATAAACCCAACCTGATCAGGGTGGACCAGAGAAGACATCAAAGGGAAGGGACTTGCTTGCATCTGCAATCTTTAGATGAGAAAAGTGCAGTGATAGATGTTCTTGCTGTAAAGGGGAGAGATGGGGGAGATTAATGGAATTTAGGAAGGAGTCCACATTATTAGGTTGTGGTGTAGTAGGGTTATATGCTCGATTTGTACAAAGAGGAGTGGTACTCGCTGAAAGCAATGGCTATATCTTAAGGGTTTGTAAGTAGGGCTTTGGAGGACGGGTAATGTAGTGAGGCTTTTTTAGTTTTAGCTTGTTGTAGTTTAACTTGTGTAGTGAGAAGAGCTCCTGCCTTGTTACCAAGGGCACCAAAGTTGCCTTTGGTAAGTTTTAAATTGGTTTCAGTATTTATGAAGAAGAAGAGAGCACAATTTCTGCCTATCTTCAAAGAGTGCAGAAGCCACTGAGGGGGGAGGGTTTAATTTATGTAGGTCCTTTTTACGTTTGATGGAAGCTAATACCTCGTCAATTTGCCTAGTTCTCTGGTGTTTGACATAAACATGTATTTTTTAATAAGAATGCCAAGCATATATGCCTTACACGTAGACCATAAGACAAGGGGATCAGTGTCCGATATATCACTGAGTTAGAACTACTACTGGTGGGCTTGGGTTATTTTGCAACAGATGGAAGGGTAAGCCAGTAGAGAAGAGTTGAATCTCCACAAATTTGGAGGTCGGTTTTGAAAGAATCCAGCTCTTAAAGGATGGGTGCGTGGTCAGACCACACTATATTTCAGATGGTAGTGGAAAGGGCATTTTGAAGAGTCTGTTTATCGATTAGAAATACACTATATTGCCAAAGGTATTGGAACGCCTGCCTTTTCACACACGTGAACTTTAATGGCATCCCAGTCTCAGTCGTAGGTTTCAGTATTGGCCCACCCTTTGCAGCTATAACGGCTTCAACTCTTCTGGGAAGGCTGTCAACAAAGGTTAGGAGTGTGTCTATGGGAATGTTTGACCATTCTTCCAGAAGCGCATTTGTGAGGTCAGGCACTGATGTCGGATGAGAAGGCTTTGCTGGCAGTCTCTGCTATAATTCATCCCAAAGGTGTTCTATCAGGTTGAGGTCAGAACTCTGTGCAGGCCAGTCAAGTTCCTCCACCCCAAACTCACTTATCCATGTCTTTATGTACCTTGCTTTGTGTACTGGTACACAGTCATTTTGGAACAGGAAACTCTTCTCACAAAGCTGGGAGCATGAAATTGTCTAAAATGTCTGGGTATGCTGACGCCTTAAGAGTTCCCTTCACTGGAACTAAGGGGCCAAGCCTAACCACTGAAAAACAACCCCGCACCATAATCCCCCCTCCACCAAACTTTAAACTTGGCACAATGCAATCCAGCAAGTACCGTTCTCCTGGCAAGTGCCAAACCCAGACATGTACTTTGGAGTGCCAGACCGAGAAGCGTGATTCATCCAGAGAACACTTCCCCACTGCTTTTAGAGTCCAGCTTTACACCACTGCATCCGACACTTTGCATTGCACTTGGTGACGTAAGGCTTGTATGCAGCTGCTCGCCCATGGAAACCCATTCCATGAAGCTCTCTATGCACTGTTGTGCTAATTTGAAGGCCACATGAGGTTTTGGAGGTCTTAAGCTGTTGTCTCTGCAGACAGTTGGCAATTGTACGCTTCAGCTCTGTCATTTGTGACTCAGCTCTGTTATTTTTCATGGTCTACCACTTAGTGACTGAGTTGCTGTTATTCCCAGTTGCTTCCACTTTGTTATAATACCACTAACAGTTGACCATGAAATATTTAGTAGCAAGGAAATTTCACGGATGGACTTAATGCACAGATGGCAACCTATCACGGTACCATACTTGAATTCACTGAGCTCCTGAGAGCGACCCATTCTATCACAAATGTTTGTAGAAGCAGTCTGCATGCCTAGGTGTTTGATTTTGTACATCTATGGCCATGGAGCAATTGGAACACCTGATTCCAATGATTTAGAGGGGTGTCCCAATACTTTTTGCAATATAGTGTCTGTCTGTACGGCAATAGAAAGCCTGTGATGGCAAGTAGTAGGTGAAGTCCCATTCTGAGCAATGTTGGCAACGCCTGAGATCCTATAAATTATCTTGGTGAATCAGAGCTTGATGAGGAATATGCTTCTTTCAGGAGTAGTCCAGGACTGGGTCCTCAACTGTGTTTGAAGTCGCCCCCTTTAATAGGGTGACCATTTGTATGTGCATAGAGCAGGCGTAGAAGGTTTTTACAAAACTGCAGTTGTTTAGTATTGGGTGCATACACATTAACCAAGGTGTATGTGATCTGGTCAGTATTACGGACAAGTATAAGATAGCGACCTTGGGGGTCTGCATTTTTTTGAATGAGGGTAAATGAAAGCGTATTGCATGCTGCTTCACATTTTTTTTTTCATCTCTGCAGATGCCAGGAAGAGATAGACAAAGCTCTTAAGTCTGAGGAGAGGAGTTTTGGAGATAGAAAAAAATATGTCTCCTGCACCATAAGTAAGTCTCCACGCAAATTACTAGTTTCTTTCATAAGTGTCAAGCTCTTGTATGGGCTGTTTACACCTCTGGCATTGAGAGAGATAATTTTGAAGGACATCGTTGATAGGTGAGGGCGTGAGGTGAGCTTGGAGGAGTTAGGTGTGTGGGAGCAGAAATTCCACTTAGTGGCTTGTAGACAAGTGGCAGGATGTGGAGTTTGGGTGGTGGTGCCAGTTAGTGGTCAGGAACCGTGAAGTCCAAACTAATCTGCAGGATTTGGTTTCATATGATAGTAGTAGTGGAATATAGTCTCCAAACATGGACTTGGCATAGGCGTCCCTCTAGTGTCCAGATAGTGCAGTGTTTACCTCAGTGTGTCACAAGCAGCTTTGTGGGGAGCCCCCATTTACAGGGGATCCTATGGTTCTGCTGAGCTTTAGTGATGGTGACAAGTTGTTTTCTATTCTAGTTATCTTGGAGAGGTCAGTATAGAGCTTGACCGAGGAGAAATCCTCAGGTATATAGGGAGTGTGTTTTGCTGCATGCATGACTTTTTCCTTGACGTGAAAAAAGTGGATGCGGGCCAGAACATCCCTGGGTGTGGAGTCAGGCACAAAAGCTGGTTTAGGGAGCCTTTGAGTTCTGTCTGTGGCCACTTCAAGATCTATCAATTCAGGAAATATAAACCGCATTAGTTGTTGAACAAATAGGGGTCAATTCAGTTTGGGGCACATTTTCAGGGATTTTACAGAATTAGATATTATTCCTGCTTGACTGGTCTTCTAGGTCAGCAAGTTTCAATCTTAGCTCTTTGAGCTCGTTGTCATGATCAGTATGAACATCAATGAGGTCATTGTGCGTGGGGAGCAGCTCCTCCATTTTGGCTTCTATGTGTGTGCCCCTGGACTGTCTGAGAGAGTGAGGAGACCTCAGCTGAAAGATCTGCATGGAGGATTTGCCTGAGCGATGTAAGCATGTTTTTCAGTGTCTACTGTAATATCGGTTGATCAGAAGCAGGGAATGAGTCTATGGCTGATTTTATGGTGAGTAGCGTGGAGAGGAAGTCCAAAAGGCGCCATATTAAGCTCTGCTTATGATGGTTCCTCTCTTCGATGTCTAGATTTGGCGAGACTAGCCATTGTAGGTGAATAGGGAGGTGATGACTCGCCCTCTGCAGCTTGTGCAGAAGATGAGGAATGCTGCTGGGTAGATCCCAGTGTGTTGGACAGAGGATATCGCCATGAAGAGCCTCCGTGTGTCTTGGCTGGACTGAGGTCCTGCTGCAGGGAAGAAATGGGTGAGCTTCTGCGGCGGATAGGCAGCTTCTCTTCACTTGGACATGTTGGTGGGTCACCATGGAAGGATAATGCTGGATCTCGGATGAAACAGGCTGTACTCAGGGTTGCTATGAAGCCACTGTGTAGTCGGAGTCTGCGCGGAGCTCAAAGATTAAGCCACCATCTGCTGTGGCGGCAAACCATGCCACCCACGGGGCACTTTTCTTACCATTGATACCAACAATCGGACACTATTCCACGCATTAAAACTAATGATGGGGCTCTGATGCTGGGGAAATTTCTTCTCCCACTGGCCCCCCTGAAGGACCGAGAACTGGCCCTTTGCTTAGAAAGCTTGGAGACCCCTGATCTATGGTAATTGAACAGTGTATTGACTTTCTAAATTCTGTGTTAGGTTATGAAATATTCTTATCTATATAATAAGATGAAAATTAAGTGGGGCCTCTGACAAAGGGATTATTGGGCTTTGTATGTAAAAGTTGTTATACAATCACTCATGTGGACAGGTCATAGCACTTCTGCATTGCAACAAAGGGGTCCTCGATTCGAATCCTGGTCAGGACACTATCTGCATGGTGTTTCAATGTTTCCTCTGTGCTTGAGTGGGTTATGTGACATAGGGACCTTAGATTGTAAGCTCCTTGATGGCACGGACTGATGTGAATGTACAGTATGCTAAGCACTGTATGAACTGATGTTATATAAATACTACTACTACTACCAATAAAAATTATTTGTAGGTGAGTCATGTACTAAATATTGGCAAAGGGAGTTGCTGTTTATTTGTGTTTTTTTTTTGTTCTAGACAAATAGTGAAATACATAATGTACTGCATAAGGGAGATGTTTTACCTGGCAAAGGATTTGTGATTCTGTGAAGCCAGTCTTGAGATTTACACACCTTGACACCTTGATAAAGTTCACGCAGAGGTGGATGAAAAATGTTGGTGTTTGCTGACTGCCTGCACTTGATGCTGACATCTTGGTACAGACTGGCTGTATGAAAGGAGAGGGATGCAGTGTCGGCACTCACCGAAAATGCTATGTCTGCACTCTACAGCCCTGGATGAGAACACTAGGAGGGCTTGCTGAAGGGGTTGCAGGAGTGGGGGTTTGGTGCTGAGAACGGCTTTGCACCTGGATGATTATTTTTGTGTACCTGGGGAAACCAGGAGTCCAATCAGCAGAACTTTCCTCACTATCCAGCAGGGCAGCCTGACGGTGCAGCATTATCATAGCAGTTAGACACCGTGCTTTAATATATCAGTCTGTTCCCACATGGTGAGTCTTCATCAGTAACAGATACCTGTATGTATGCGCCTGGCTGTGTAGCTCTCGATTCCCGTGCCAAAGCCTGTTGTTTCCTCCATGGGATATTAGTGTTGCATGGAACTATAATTTATATGGAACTGACATTTGCATTCTCAAAGTCTGGAGCTTATTTTAGTGCTGATATGATTGTAGTCCATGGCTGCTTCCGTTAGCATGAATCAGTCATTCAAGGTTTGATCTTCAGGTGCTATTTGGAACAATATATATGCGAAATACAAATCTAGCACATTTGCTCTTCGTTTCATGTTCCATCTCCATATAACTGATTTTCATCTGTCTGTGCAGTATTTGGTGTGGTGTAATGCTTAGCCTTGTTGTGTGATGATATCGGCTATTTGTACATTGCAAAGCTATAACATTCATGCTCAGGGGCTTTCAGCTTCACTATTATGTCAGTATCTTGCCTATGTTTTTGATTGCTTTGACTCTTTGATTTGTGCCACTGTTGAGTTTAGGGCAGTGTGAGGGTGACATTTTAATCACATATTTATTTTTGGAAATTTGTAGGCCAGGGTTTGCATTTATATATATATATTATTATATTTTTTATTGCATCATGTCATTCAATAGGGTGCAAAGTTCTTAAAGTGGTAGTAAAGTCTTCAGAAAGGGGGGAAAAAAAATCCATGCATATCAATGTCATATTGTGCTGGTATGCATCGCATATTAGTACAGCATGAAAGACTTGCCTTAAAACAAAGCCCTCAAGTGGTGCTCTGTTACCCGTGTCAGGGCTTCCATCTGTGGTCTTTCTTCTGTGTTCATGGGTTCCAGCCATTTGAATGACTGAGCTGCAATTACATCACTCCTGTGCATGCATGTGGGAGCCGTAGCTCAAACCCAAACTACATATGCTGTCCCTTCAGAGCACAGTTCACTTGCATTGGTGACATCACCAGCTGCAGAAATAGTGAATAACTCCTAAACAGGCACCTGTGTTGTGTTCGAATTCTTGGACATGGCCTTTAGTTTGCATCTAAGCTACTTTTTTCTTCTCCGTACACGTCAATATGAATACAAAATAAACTACAAGCTACTCCGAAGCAGCCCATAGTGCATGCTGAGTTTGCAGTAGTCTGTACCCTTTAATAACTATAAATATAGGTGCCTTACACAATATCAGCATAGTGTGAAAGTGGTTTGGTCCTGTTTGTTACATAGTTGGTCTGGTTAAAAGAAGACAAAAGTCCATCCAGTTCAACCATTAAAAGAAAAAAAAGTTATAATCCTATACCCACAGCTGATCCAGAGGAAGGCAAAAAAAAAACCCCATCAAAGCGTGATCCAATTTGCTCCTGCAGGGAAAAAAATGTGTTCCTGATCCGCCGAGAGGCAATCTGATATTCCCTGGATCAACTTTACCTAATAAATGTTAGTATCCAGTTATATTCTGTGTATATAAGAAATAATCCAGGCCTTTCTCTTGAGGGAGTCTATTCCACATTTTCACAGCTCTCACTGTGAAGAAACCTTTCTGTGTTTGGAGATTACATTTCTTTTCCTCCAGACGTAAAGAGTGCCCCCTTGTCCTCTCTGATTACCTCAGGATGAATAGCTCTACACCGAGTTCACTATATGAACCACTGATGTATTTATACATGTTGATCATATCCCCCCTTAATCTCCTCTTCTCAAGGATGTACTTCTTACCAAAATAAACATACTTACTCACATTGACTGAGAGGTGTGATTCCTAATTCTGGGTTTATTTTGTAACTGAGCACAGAGAATTGAATGGTCACTATCAACAAGTAAGATCGCAAGACAAATACAGATCTGATTAGAACAAAAATTGACAGCGCTACAACCCTGTGATCCTTTTTCAAGTGAGGTTAAATACCTGGTCAGTGCCCCACGCAAAGCTTCTGCAAGCCATAAGTATAAAATAGCCAAAAAAGTCGGCAACTTGAAAGGTTAAAATC